GTCCCTTAACTCCCCCTCCTCCACATTCTTGCAGACCCCCTCCCCAGAGAAGCCGATTTGCTCCCCTTCTACCCAGCCAACCCTCCCTGCGAGGCAGGCACAGCCCTCCCCACTAAGCTGCTACGGCTCTCCTGTCTTCCCCGCCCCGATCACCTTAGGGGATCCCCCTGCCCGTCCCCCCTCCCTCTCAAACCCACCGTGAATGGAGGGCAGGGGCGCCTCCCCCTCCTCAAAACGAGGGGGGCCCGAGAGGGGCAGCCTCAGCCCGGCTCCACGCCTCCCTCGAAGGGAAGGCCGAATAAAGGGTCGCTTTCCCCTCCCTCGGCCCGGAAAAGCCCGCGCCGTCTTGGGCTGGCCACGCCTCCCGGCCGCTGTGAGGAAGCAGCCCCTCGCGCGCACCCCTCTTTTCCAAGAATGGAGCGGTCCACCTCCGCCCCCCTCCACGCTGGCCGGATCCAAAGCATAACGGGCGCGGGGGGGAGGTCTCCTGGGGGCTTCCTCAGCTCCCTTGTCCTCACCTCGCCGCCTCGGCCTTCACCGCCTTCCCGCGCCTCCGTCCGCCTCCACCGCCGCCCCGCGGTGCTTTTCCCAGCTCAGCGGCCAGGACCTTGGCCTCCAACCAGGAAGTGGCCCGGTGTGACACCTACTCCTCGCTGCCATGACAACGCTCCCCCGCCCGCCGGGCTCGGGCCAGGGAAAGCCTCGGCTCCTGGCCGCACGCCGCCGCCTGGCAGCGTCGAGGGCGTTCCCAAGCAGGGCGCCATTTTGCATTCCAAGGAGGCTACGGCGCGCCGGCGTGGCCAAACCAATTCCAACTTCGCGATACGGCTTTCTTAGCAGCTCTGCCATCTTCAGTCAAAAGCGAGGAGAGGCCCCGCCTCTTGCGCGAACAGTGCAGGATATTGCTCGGTATAGACTCCATTTCCCAGAATTCCCTAGCTTGCCCTAATGGCTGAGGAAATCTGGGAGTTGAAGTCCACCCATCTTAAAGTTGCCGTTTTTGAAAACCAAATGCCTCCCTTTAAGGATCAGTCCTATCACTGCACTTGAGCATAAAGCATATACAATAAAACAACCCTACACAGTCACTGAAAAAGCAAACAGGGAGATAAGTGATTCTGGGGTTTCCTTTCATTTTGACACCTTGCCTGAAATGTATTTTGGGGAAACTTAGAGGTGTGAAAGCCTTGAGCAACCTTAATACAGTGTTTCTCAACCTTGATAATTTTAAGGCATGTGGACTTCAACTCCCAGAATTCCACAGGCAGCATTGCTGGCTGTGGAATTCTGGGAGTTGAAGTCCACATGCCTTAAAATTGTCAAGGTTGAGAAACACTGGCTTAATATAATCACAATCTGCTTATTTAACCCAGTATTTCTGATGTTGCATGATACATTCAACCACCAGTGGGAACAGAAAGGAAAAAACAACTTTGGACGTGGACAAAGTCTTAACATAAATTGTGAATCCAGTCAGTTCTTCAAATTCTGGCCTTACAGCAACCCAGGAAGGCTGGCCCAAATGAAAAAAAAAAGTGGGAAATATTGCAGAAATGGGGAAAAAGATTGCCCAGACTTATTAGCCCAACCACCAAGAAACATAAAGCAGATAAATCCAGATTTTATTTTTTAGATTTTCTTGCAGCATTAAAAGGCAACAGTAACACCAGCTCACCAGAGAACAATTAACACACTGAGCTTGGCTATAGTGCAGCCCCAGAGAAAGGCAAATTTGGCCTGCTAAGCTGCTACTACAGTGGTGGTGAACCTATGGCACGGGTGCCAGAGGCGGCACTCAGAGCCCTCTCTGTGGGCACACGCGCCGTCGCCCCAGTCCTAGGCCTTCAGCTGGGTTTTATAAAACCTTTTCGCTTTAGGCCTCCGCCACCGTGTGCAAAAGAAAAAAAGGTTCAATCAATTTCAACTTCTCGCGGGAAAAAAAAGATCTTGCAAAGTTGGAATTGATTGATTGAACATTTTAGTCCCACCCAGTCTGCCATTACCACCGCAACCATGCCCACCCAATGGGCCACACCCACCCAGCACCTGACGATGCATAAGTGGGTTTTGGGTTGCAGTTTGGGCACTGAGTCTCTAAAAGGTTTGCTATCACTGTGCTATTACATCACTCCTATATCACTGTTGCAATTTTCAATCTGGAAGACGGGGCACTGCAAAGAGCCAACCACTCTACCAGTGATAGGGTGGTGCATGTGTGAATGCAAACCAAAGCTCTGACGATAATAATAATAAAGTTGGAAGGTCATCTAGTCCAATCCCCTGCTCAGGCAGGAAAGCTATACCATTTCAGACAAATAGCTGTCCAATCTCTTCTTAAAGACTTCCAGTGTTGGAGCATTCACCGCTCTGGAGGCAGGTTGTTCCACTGGTTAATTGTTCTGTCAGGAGGTTTCTCCTTAGTTCTAGGTTGCTTCTCTCGATTAGTTTCCATCCATTGCTTCTTGTCCTGCCTTCAGGTGCTCTGGAGAATAGCTTGACTCCCTCTTCTTTGTGGCAGCCCGAGATATTGGAACACAGCTATCATGTCTCCCCCTCGTCCTTCTCTTCATTAAACTAGACATACCCAATTCCAGCAGCCGTTCCTTATATGTTTTAGCCTCCAGTCCCCTAATCATCTTTGTTACTCTTCTCTGCCCCCTTTCTAGAGTCTCAACCTCTTTTTTACATCGCGGTGACCAAAACTGGATGCAGTATTCCAAGTGTGGCTTTACCAAGGCCTTGTAAAGTGGTATTAACACTTCACGTGATCTTGATTCTATCCCTCTATGATAGGATGACAGGTTTCAAAGCAGCTGGATTTGGAGGGACTTATAATGAGTAACTCTCAGATCCAGTAGGAGACCCCAGAATGGGGAGAGCATTTTCAAGAGTAGAAATGGGGTCCGTTTCCCCCCCCCCCCCCAAATAAGGAAGGAATCCACTGAATCCATTGTCTTACCTGTTTGCCATTGCCATGAAATTGCTGCGGTCATCTGCCTTAGGACACAACACGGAGCAAAAATAGGAGAGAAACAGAAACTCCACTGACCTCTATGGATCGGTGAGTCAGCGGCAGCTGAACCTGTATAACCGAAAGAAAACAATACACCTTTGGCCAAAACCTTTGGCACTCTATCTTGGGAAGCTAAGAGTGCATTCCAGAAGAAGGCGATGGCAAACCACGATTGACCTATTGTTTATTTATTACATTCATATGCTGTCCATCTCCCTATGCAAAGCAACACTGGATGATAAAATAACATTTATTTATTAAAACAATTAAAATGAATTTTAGTCATTTATTTTTATATATCAGATTTAATATTTATTGATTAAAACGATAAATAAAATAAATTTTATTCATTTATGTTTATACATCAGATTTGGGCGCCGCTCACTGCCCTCAGAGAGCAACTATGACAGTGGTGGCGAACCTATGGCACGCGTGTCAGAGGCGGCACGCGGAACCCTCTCTGTGAGCACGTGCCATCACCCCAGCACACGTGGTCTCTAAAAGTTTGCCATCACTGGCCTAAGGCCAGCCAGCCTGGAGCTGCCATTGGGGAGCCCACCATCCCACCTGCCAGAGACCCCATGGATCCCCCCCAACCCTGCCCTGCCCTGCTCCCACAGGTGTCCCTCCCCATAAGCAACATCGAGGTGGCCCCGCTCAACCCGGCCATGCCCACCCAATCTGCCATGACTACTGCAGCCACACCCATCCAGTGGCCACGCCTACCCAGTCTGCCACACCCATCCGGCACCCGGCGATACATTAAGTGGGTTTTGGGTTGCAGTTTGGGCATTTGGTCTCTAAAAGATTCGCCATCACTGAACTATGAGTTTGGTAGAAATGCTGGAGTAAGATTCATATTTAAGATTCTTAAAGTGAATATAAAACTAAAAAGAGTCTTTTAGGCTTAGTGGATAAAGAACTTGAAAAAAAAATTGGGACTTTGCTGATATGGTACATATGTCCACAGCAGCAAGGATGCTTTATGTACAAAAATGGAAAGATACTTTGATTCCCACAATGGATAATTGGCTGGAAAAACTGATGAAAACTAGCAGAGGTGGCTAAATTGGCCACCTTAATCAAAGAGCACATCCAACTTTTGTTTCTACTTGGAAATCACTTCTGAATTTTGAGATGGGAAAAAAATGAAACTTTTGACTTTTTGATAAGTTTGTTGTTATAGAAATATGGCTAGCACATTTTACTATGTAAAAGTAAAAAGCCGAGGTTGCAAAGTTATTGACTTATTCTGTTGCACTAAAAAGGGTTTTAAGTCAATGGGGTTTTTTTCCCCTCTTTACCCTGCACTTTTTTCTCTTCCCTTTTCCCCATTTTCATTTGAATTCATCTGAACTTGATATCTTGATAGACTTAGTAAACTTATACGAGTACAATTTGGTTTGATAGTTAAGGCACCAGGCTGGAAACCAGGAGACTGTGAGTTCTAGTTCCGCCTTAGCCATGAAAGCCAGCTGAGTAACCTTGGGCCAGTCCGTTTCTCAACCCAAGCCACCTCACAAGGTTGTTGTGGAAGGGAAAATAGGAGGAATATTTTCTGTGTGTGTGTGTGTGTGTGTGTGTGTGTGTGTCTGGATGTGTGTGTCATTTATAGTAATTTATAAGTTATTAAGCCATTTATAATAATAAAGGTGGCTTTTTAAATGCATTCTTGCTCTATATCTGGCGTGTCCTGGGAATCCAACCTTATGCGCGGTTCATTCTTCCACGCGTGCAAGTAGACTCAGAAGCACGCATCTCCGACTGGGCTCACACGATCCGAGCCGCCGCCCTGCCTGATCGGGCTTGGTTCTTCAACACAGGCTCGCTTGAAACCACAGCTACCAAGGCACATTTCCCGCGGCAATACACCACGGGATAACCTAGGAACCAGCAAACCCCGGGCGAGCTTTCCCACGTTTGTGCGAAACCCGGAAGCAGCGCGGCTCTTTTTCCAGCCGCCGTTCCGCATCTGCCCGGCAGGGGTCTCCCTTGAGCCGCTCCGCTCTGCGCCGCTGCAACGAGCGATGGCCGCTGCAGCCGCCCGCGGAGGGCTTTGCAGGGCGAAGCTGGCGCGGTTCGTCCCGGGCTTCCGGACTGCTTCGACCGGCAGCTCCGCAGCCTCAACGCCCGATGGGCCGCGCCAGCAGGAGGAGCAGCAGCAAGGGAAGCTCACCCGCGTGTGGCAGAGCGAAGGCATCAGGTTGGGCAGAGAATGCAAAGCCCGGGAGATTCCGGGCTGGGTGGGCAGGGCTGCCCCTTCTCCCTGCAGCCCCCTTGGCTTAGGTTTGGGGGGGGGTACCCCTCCTTTGGGGTACTACTACTAGGAGTTGTAGTTCTCCAGTACCTGCGAATGTCTGGTGCTGGGGGGGGAGGGGGTGAAGCGGGAGGAGACGTGTGAATCTGCAGATGCGTGACAGCGCTAACTCGGGCACCAACTGCCCCGTTCTAAGTCAGGATGTTTGGCTGTGCTGCACTGCTGCTGCCCTTGCGGGGCACCAGAGTGGAGCATCTGTCTGGGATACAGAAGGGATCTGGGCTTTTTCTCCACTTCCCTCAGAAGGAATGCGTTTTAGGATTATAAATCATGATTTATCACTCGTGGCTTGTGTGCACACTGAGGGCTTAAGGCACCGGAGACAAATGCCTTGTGTGACCAAGCACACTTGGCCAAGAAAGAATTCTAGTTCTAATCCTAAAAGTTTTAGAGCCGTGTTTTTCCAAAGTTCGCAACTTTGGGAGGGCGGACTTCAACTCCCAGAATTCCTCAGCCAGCCTGGGAAAAATAGTTATTTAAAGAGAACGGGTTGCAATGCCGTCCTTGCCTTAATGCAGGGGTCTTCAAACTTGGCCACTTAAAGACTTGTGGACTTCAACTCCCAGAATTCCTCAGCCAGCCAGCCTACCTGGCTGGCTGGCTGAGGAATTCTGGGAGTTGAAGTCCACAAGTCTTCAAGTGGCCAAGTTTGAAGACCCCTGCCTTAATGATAAGGTTGCCTTCCTGGGTCAGATGCTCTCCTGCAACTGGGTGCAACCCAGAATCTGGAGAGTGCTTGACATGCCATTTGCAAATGAAACAGATGTGTTTGCATAATTCTGGAATATGCTGGTAATTGACTTGGTTCTCGCAAGGGGCAAATGCCCACAGCTAGATGTGAAAGAGTAATTACAATGATATCATTTGGGTTTTTTTGTACAACTCAAGGTGGTGTAGATATAATGTTTTCTCTTATTACCACACAACGACCCTGTGAAATGGATTGGGCTGAGGTAACGACTGACAGACAGCCCCTGACAGAAAGCCCCCCCTCATGGTTTCATACCTAAGGCAGGACCAGAAGCACACACGCACCACCTGACAACCACTCATAAACCAGGAGTAGGCAACTATGGCAACTTTATGACCTGTGGACTTCAGCTTCCGGAACTCCAGAGCCAGCATGGACTTCTGGGAGTTGAAGTCCATAGGTTGTAAAGTTGTCAGAGTTGCTCCCCCCCCCCCCCGTTTAAATCAGTGCCTCTTTTCACATGCTATAAAGGCCGGGTTTACACCATGTAGTAAACTACAACAGTGTGCAAGTTCACCCCTGGCTGATCCAAGTAGAGTTCAGGTGACAGCCCACAAAATACACGCTAATAAAATGCATTTTGTACAACCTCCATAACCCAGTTATGGGTACTCCTCGACTGAGGAATTGGGACTGGAATTTCTGTGGTTAAGTGATTTGCACCCGATGTTACAACTTTTTATGCCATGTTCTTTAAGCAAACAACTGTGGTCATTAAGTGAATTTCACAGTTGTTAAGTGAATCCAGATTTCCCCCATTGACTTGGCTGGGAAAGTCACAATTGGTGATCACATGACCCCAGCACGCTGCAACTGTCATAAATACATGCCAGTTATCAAATGCCCCAGTTTTGATCATTGAACCATAAGGATGTCGTAAGTGCGAGGACTGGTCATAAGTCATTTTTTTTTCAGCACTTGTAACTTTGAATAGTCCTAAAGTTTATTTCTAAATGGATGGTCATAATAAGTCAAGGACTACCTGTACTGAATTATGTTTTTACAGCACCTGAATCAATACCAGCTATCAAACCATTAACTAAATATTTGGAATGGAATCACATAACGTCCTAAAACACCCCCTGTTCTTCTCATAAAGTCAAGTTTACCAATTGCAAATTTAGCAACAAGGTTTTTTTCAAAAAAAGCCCCCCCCAGCACAGTTAATTAATAATTAATAGTAGTGCATGCACAAGGAAGCTCTTTTTTGGAACTGTTAAGATAATGATCAGTTTCTGAATAAGGGAGTGAACTGAACTGGGCCAGGGAAGGGAGCAGAAAAGGGCATGAATTAATAGTGGATTAAATTTAGCGTGGAGAAAACTTTTGAAAAAAGTGATTCAGAAGTGAGCCCAATTTTTGCCTGAGTTTATTATCTGGGAAGCTCTCTTTGGAAATTACCTCAAAAATCAGAAAATCCCCTTTGCAAACCATGTATTAATTGGTTTGGGGCCAAATCAATCTCTAGGCCAGTGTTTCCCAAACTTGACAATTTTAAGGCATGTGGACTTCAACTCCCAGAATTCCACAGCCAGCGTTGCTGGCTGTGGAATTCTGGGAGTTGAAGTCCTCATGCCTTAAAATTGCCAAGTTTGGGAAACACTGCTCTAGGCGGCATCTTCAGAAAAAAAAAATCTTCTCAGCTTGCAAATTATATTGGATCCGAATCAGTGAACTCCAAACACAAGAGCAATTATCAGTTATTCAATCAAGGAACCAACAGGTGACAACCTGCAAATGGTTACATCATCATTCATAAAACCAGGCAATGTTAAGGCTGGGAGGATGTTTGGTCTAATTCGGGGGTCTTTAAAGGTGGCTCTTTTATGACTTACGGACTTCAACTCCCAGAATTCCTCAGCCAGGCACGCTGGGTGAGGAATTCTGGGAGTTGAAGTCCGCAAGTCATAAAAGGGCCAAGTTTGAAGACCCCTGTTCTAATTCCTGGATATGTCTTTAAATGCGTTTTATGAATTGTTGTGAGCCCGCTGGATCCTGTGATAGGCTGCCATGTAGGTCCTGTATGGAATGGGACAATTCATTGTGGTTCCCTGATCCTGCTCCTTTCACCCCGGTTTTTCTAGCCCAGCTGTCCCACCACGGGCCCTCATCCACCGGTGATGTACCGCCCCCACTACTACTCCACCACATCTCCGCTACTGCCTAGTTGTGGGCATTGCCCCGCAACAGAAATCTTCACGGCCAATTCTCTCCTTGGCATGATTAAACATGGCTTTGAGGCTTCTGGTGCATTTCTGGCCATTTTTTAAATTAACTTTCTTCTCAATAAACACACACAGAAGAGAAGAAAGATAGAAGAGAATATTAATGGGAAACTAAAAATTGGTAAAAACTAATTAGGACATTGATTGTCTATAAAGATTGAATGTTAAAATAACTGGGATATGTATACACTAAAAATGATTGATAAATGTAAGGAAGTTATTTTTATTTAATCGATATAATAAAAATTGTGTTAGTTTAAATATGAGACAGTAAATACTAAGGGGAAAAGAGAGGAAATATTTAATGTAGTAGACTTGTACTAACAATACTTGTATGTTATTGAATTATCGATTAACTCAGCCGCCATGTTGCTTTTTAAATATTTAAATGTAAAATTAGAAAATCAATAAAATTTTCTTTAAAAAAATAGAATAGAATAGAATAGAATAGAATAGAATAGAATAGAATAGAATAGAATAGAATAGAACAGAATAGAATAGAATAGAACTGGAAGGGACCTTGGAGGTCTTCTAGTCCAGCCCCCTGCTCGGGCAGGAGAACCTAGGCCAGGGGAAGGCAACCTTGGCTCTTTATGACTCGTGGACTTCAACTCCCAGAATTCCTGAGCCAGCCATCCTTTGGGTTAATCCTCATGCTCAAACCAGCCACTATTTTTGTTACCTTGACAGATTCCAACTATCAGATGTTGCCAAGAAGAACCCATCCATCCTTAACAGATGTTCACGATTGATCCAAAATCATCTTATTATCGTCACCTTACAAAAATAATAGGAAAAACGATATGAGTTAAGGATGCAACTTTTGAATTGCATGTCCAACCGCAATAGGATCGTAACCAAGCCTAAGAACCTGTGCGGAAAACATACTTTTTTTTAATAACCGTGTTATATAATCTTAGGAAATTAATTTTTTCATTGCGTAGAACCACCCATTTCATACCGCAAAGACCTCCCACCTCCAAAAGACTGATTTGGGGGTCCAGCCACAGTCACTTTGGGAAGCAGCCCTCAAATTGAAAAAAAAAAACCTTCTCTCCCCTGTTGTAGGGATTCTCGTTCCTACTAAGCTGCTTTCCGTGACATCTTATAAACATTAATTTTTCTTTACAGGAACATCGTTCTGAGCAATCCTGGCAAAAGAAATGTGCTTTCCCTCTCCATGCTGAAGTCCCTCCGTCAGGATATTTTGCACAATATTGACAGCACGGATCTGCGCGTCATTATCATTTCAGGTATGTTTTTCATCCATATTCGAAAAAGGAGTGGAATGAAGTAGAGTAGAATATAATGAGTAGAGTAGAATGGAATGGAATGGAATGGAGTAGAATGGAATGGAATGGAATGGAATGGAATGGAATAGAATACGGAATAGAATGGAATGGAATAGAATAGAATACGGAATAGAATGGAATAGAATGGAATGGAATGGAATAAATAGAATATAGAATAAATAGAATAGAATAGAAAACGAAATAGAATGGAATGGAATGGAATGGAATAAATAGAATAGAATATAGAATAAAATAGAATAGAATAGAATAGAATAGAATAGAATAGAAAATAAGGAATGGAAATATAGAATAGAATAGAATAGAATAGAATATGGAATGGAATAGAATAGAATAGAATAGAATAGAATAGAATAGAATAGAATAGAATAGAATAGAATAGAATACGGAATAGAATGGAATGGAATGGAATGGAATAAATAGAATATAGAATAAATAGAATAGAAATAGAATAGAATAGAAGACGAAATAGAATGGAATGGAATGGAATGAAATAAATAGAATAGAATAGAATAGAATAGAATAGAATAGAATAGAATAGAATAGAATAGAATAGAATAACAAAGTTGGAAGGGACCTTGGAGTCTTCTAGTCCAACCTCCTTCTCAGTGAATGAATGAAGAGAGCATTTGGCAGAGTCCTAAATCATTTGAGTCTAACTATCATTGGTCTGAAATGGGATCTGTGAGACTCAGTGTCTGCAATCTCCTTTCTTAAATTCACGTGGTTTTTAGTTACCGTGGCAATGAAAAAAGTGACATATGACCGTTTTTCACACTTACGACCTTTGCGGCATCTCCATGGCCATGGGATCAAAATTCAGACGCTTGGCAACTGACTCATATTAATGACGGTCGCAGTGTCCCGGGGTCATGTGATCCTCTTTTGCGGCCTTCTGACAAGCAAAGTCAGAAAGACAGATTCACTTAACAACCATGTTACTACTTTAACAACTGCAGTGATTCTCTTAACTGTGGCAAGAATGGTCATAAAATGGGACAAAACTCACTTAACAAACGTTTCAACAAATTTTGGACACAGCTGTGATCATAGGTTGAGAACTAACTGTTATTACCCTTGGCAGTTATAACAACGTAAGCAATATCTTGCTGGATAACCCTGAGCCAAACTAGTCCAGCAGTCTGTTATTTCATGGGTGTGAGTCCTCACCAAGCCTTAATAATAATAATAATAATAGTAAAGTTGGAAGGGATCTTGTTTGTACAAAAAATGACGATTCTTGCAAGTTCAGATTCTGTGAAGTTTTATTTCTGGCTTCACTTCTTGCCAGGCTTTATTGAATTGTGACTCTTCCATTATTTCTAGGTGCCACCATTTTGTTGATTGTTAACTTTTTTATCCTGTCTTTTCCCAAGTACTAAAGATAGCTTTAATAATAATAGTAGTAAAGTTGGAAGGTACCTTGGAGGTCATCTAGTCCAACCCCCTGCTCAGGCAGGAAACCCTATACCATTTCGGACAAATGGCTGTCCAATCTCTTCTTAAAAACTTCCAGTGTTGGAGCATTCACCACTTCTGGAGGCAGGCTGTTCCACTGATTAGTTGTTCTAACTGTCAGGAAGTTTCTCCTTAGTTCTAGGTTGCTTCTCTCCTTGATTAATTTTCTTGTCCTGCCTTCAGGCGCTTTGGAAAATAGCTTGACTCCCTCTTCTTTGGGGCAGCCCCTTTATTTGTTGAATTCAGCCATTCAAAATCAGGGTTCATACAGCACTCTTAAGCCATAATACGGTTTTGTTTGGGTTTGTGTATTAGCAAAAATCCAACCATTAATCGGCCATCAACAGGCACATAGAGATAAACAACATCTATAACCACAATCAAAAAGCCCCAAAGGAAACACAGAGACCAAAACACCTCCTCACCAACAATCAACACCCACATGAGCAGAGACTAATGCCAACATTAACACGAAATTAAGACGTAAACAATACCCCAATCAAGGGACTCCCAACAGAGACAAACAAGCTAACATTAAACAGCCTAATCAAAGGACTACCAGGAACACACCCACTAACATTGACAGGGCAAACCACTAGTATATAAAAAACAAGAGGAAACCTCACTCTCTTGTGGTCCTGATGATGCTACCTAGTTTGGTAATGAAACGTCTGCAAGGAAGCCACAAAGCTCAGACAGCTCAGATTCAACCTGTCACGTGAACTCAGCACTGGTGTTGTTTTTCTATAGAACACGGTTAAGCATGCCTTAGTTCAGTGTGTTGTGTGAACTAGATCATAGTGCTATCCTGTGCAAATATTTCCTTCTTTTTCTAAACTTCTCTGAAGCCGAAGGCCCTGTTTTCTCCTCTGGACATGACTTGAAGGAGTTGACCGGGAAGGAAGACACAAAGCAGCATATGGACATCTTCAAAACCTGTTCAGAGGTGAGTTTCCACAATTCCACATTGACTTGGATCAACCCTGTGAAAAATTTTCTCTCTCTTTACAGTTGGCTGACTTCTCTCTCTGTCATTGTGTGCCAAAATGTTACTTTAAATTGGGGGAGGGTCTCCAAATCTGGTAACTTTTAAAGATTTGTGGACTTCAATTTGAGGTCCGCAACCCCAGGTTTGGAGATCCCTGATTTAAATTATCACTCAAAATGCAAGAGCATGACCCTTGAACATATTTTTTTACACAAGAAGTAATATTGTTCTAAATACTGACAGCATAAAAAAACAGCCAAATCTGTCCATTCCTCCATTGTTGAATTACTAACATCTCCAGTGTCAGAGGCCCAATGTTTTAATTCCAGCCTGGAATAAGAAGAAACCTAAATAAATCAAATGAAATATTTTGCTTCAGACAGTCACCTGGGATGTACGATGGTTCAGAATTGAAAGAGAATAATAGATTGTGTTTTTTTTTCCTCTCCGGGATTTTGCAGGGGAAATTCATAAAGTCACTGCGGTGCCCCAGAAAGAAATGCTGTCGCTATAAATAACTTTTAATAGGAGCATTTCTTCTTAAATCAACTGAGCACCGAGTGATTTCATGTATCTTAAGAAGTTGCGTCATACAGGTGGATGTCTGGAAATTGGAAATAGGTCATTTAGACTCTTTGGATTTTATATTCAAGCACTTGTAAAGGTGGAAGGAACCTTGGAGGTCATCTAATCCAACCCTGGAATTCTGATAGCGGCCCACATAAAGAGCTTTTGCTTGAAGATCTCCAGTGATGGACCCTCACAAGCTGCTCCATGGCTTCATAGCTCTCCTGTTCAGGACGTTCCTTCAAATTTTGACTTTGGATCCCCACCAAGTGGTTGTTGTCCTATGATTAGCACAAGATGGTATACGGCACAGGTCGGCAACCTGCGGCTCCGGAGCCGCATGCGGCTCTTTGAGCCTTCCCCCATGGCTCCCAGCCTCCTCTGCCATTGGCAGAGAGAGACAGAGATAGAGAGAGGCACTTGCACTTCCCTGCTTCTCTCTCTGTCCCTCTCTATCTCTGTCTCTCTGTGTGTTTGTGTTTGTGTGTGTGTGTGTGTAAAAGAGTGGATTCCGACAAGCTGAAAAGCTTATTGGGTGGAACTCCTCCCTTTGCTGCATCTCTGCAGGAAGCAGGAAGGGCAGGAGAGAGCTAGCTAGCTATGCTGACTCAGGAATTCTGGGAGTTGAAGTCCATGAGTCATAAAAGAGCCGAGGTTCCCTACCCCTGAGCTTGTTGGAGAACAGCTTGAAGCCAGCTTGCCAGGTGAGCAGAAGATCAGAGAGAGTGGGGGAAAGAGAGAGAGAGAGAGAGAGAGAGAGAGAGAGAGAGAGAGAAGAGAAGAGAATACATGCAGTGTTATCTTCATTTTAGATATCAAAAGGGTTTTGCGGCTCCCAGTATTTTGTTTTAGGTGAGAAATGGGACCAAGTGGCTCTTTGAGTGTTTTGGGTTGCCTACCCCTGGTATACGGAGAATAAATCCAAGCTCGTTTCCTTGTGATAGCCCTTTCAAACATCAGAAGATTGCTACCCAGTCTTCATTTAGTCTTCTCCATTCTTCAGGATTTAGTGCCTAAGCTAGTGTTTGTCAACCTGGGCCACTCAGAATTCTGGTAATTGAAGTCCACGCATCTTCAGGTAGCCAAGGTTGAGAGTGGTATAAGGCTAAATGTCTGTGGAGGTTCTCGGTCCTCCAGGTCATGGTTGTCCCAAAGGTGCTTTTTCCAGAAGCAACTGGACTTTCTTGTTTTTCTTTGAAGATGTTTCACTTCTCATCCCAGAAGCTTCTTCAGTTCTGACATGATGGTGGGGAATGGAATAACAGTGAAGGGATGCAGGGCAGAAAACATCCTACAGCCAAGAAGGCTCCCCACACATTTGCACCACTCAGGTGACTCTGAAGACACAGATAAACCTCCAAGTGGCCTCAAAGACTCGCTGAAGGAAGACAAATGACCAGCTGTCTACAAGGAATATAAATCTTTCCATTCCCCACCAGAGCTGAAGAATCTTCTTGGATGAGATGCATTAAGGAGAGGGATAGAATCAAGATCATGTGAAGTATTAGTAGCACTTTAAAATGCCTTGGTAAGGCCACACTTGGAATGCTGCATCCAGTTTTGGTCACCACAATATAAAAAAAAAAAATGTTGAGACTCCAGAAAGAGTACAGAGAAGAGCAATAAAGATGATTAGGGGACTGGAGGCTAAAACATATGAGGAACAGTTGCTGGAATTGGGTATGTCTAGTTTAAGGAAGAGAAGGACAAGGGGGGACATGAGAGCAGTCTTCCAATCTCTCAGGGGCTGCCCCAAAGAAGAGGGAGTCAAGATATTCTCCAAAGCACCTGAAGGCAGGACAAGACGCAACGGATGGAAACTGATCAAGGAATGAAGCAACCTAGAACTAAGGAGAAACTTCCTGACAGTTAGAACAATTAACCAGTGGAACAACCTGCCTCCAGAAGCGATGAATGCTCCAAGACTGGAAGTTTTTAAGAAGAGACTGGATAGCCATTTGTCCAAAATGGTAAAGGGTTTCCTGCCTGAGCAGGGGGTTGGACTCGATGACCTCCAAGGTCCCTTCCAACTTTATTATTATTATTATTATTATTATTATTATTATTATTATTATTATTATTATTATTATGGATCATCGCACAGTCAGCCAGATGTTCAGACTGGATTTGGCATTTTGTCTACCTATCGAGTCCTTACCCAGGACCTGGGATAGGCAGATGTGGATGTTTGATGGTATTACAGATATCGTCGCAGGATGGAAGCAGTTCCTAGTAAGGCCGCCTTTTGCAATTGACTAATAGCGAATTTGTCAATGCCAATGGTGTTCAAGTGGTGCTCCAGTTGTTTTGGGATGGCACCCAAGGAGCCTATGACTATTGGTACTACCCTTGCTTGCTTTTGCCACAGTCTTTCTATTTCTATTTGTAGGTCTTTGTATTTTGTTATCTTCTCCAGTTCTTTCTCGTCTATTCTGCTGTCTCCAGGCACTGCCACGTCCACTATCCAGACTTTTTTGCCTTTCTTATCGACAATTGTTAAGTCTGGGGTGTTATGTTGCAGGTGCTTGTCTGTTGAATTCTGAAGTCCCAGAGCAGTTTAATTTTATCATTTTCTATGACTTTCTCTATTTTATGATCCCACCAGTTTTGCTTACAGGCAAATGATATTTTTTGCAGATCTTCCAATGCACCATTGTTGCTACTTTGTCATGCCGCTGCTTGTAGTCAGTCTGTGCAATCTTCTTGCAACAGCTTACCAAGTGGTCCACTGTTTCTTCAGCTTCTTTGCATAGGCGGCACTTGTCTGTTGCTGTCTTCTCAATTTTGACTTTATATGTGTTTGTCCTTAAGGCTTATTTATTTATTTATTTATTTATTTATGAGACTTATATACCGCTTTAAGTGCAAGCACTCTCTAAGCGGTGTAGGCTTGGTCTTGTGCAGCCAGAATTAGTCCCTCGGTCTCTTTCTTCAATTTTCCTGCTCTTAGCCATTGCCAGGTCTTGTTATTATCTGCTTTCCCAGCTATTTTTTTAATGTATTGGCCAGTCAGCCAGATATTTAGACTGGATTTGACATTTTGTCTACCTATCGAGTCCTTACCCAGGACCTGGGATAGGCAGATGTGGATGTTTGATGGTATTACAGATATCGTCGCAGGATGGAAGCAGTTCCTAGTAAGATCGCCTTTTGCAATTGACTAATAGCGAATTTGTCAATGCCAATGATGTTCAAGTGGTGCTCCAGTTGTATTATTATTATTATTATTATTATTATTATTATTATTATTATTATTATATAAGAGAAGCGAAACATCTTCAAGGACGTCCAGTTGCCTCTGGAAAAAGCATCTTTGGGACAGTGATCTAAAGCCCTCACCATCTTCTGCATTCTTCTCCACAATCCTTCCAGTTCTTCAGGGTTCTTTACTTGTGTGTTGACCAGAGCCGGACCACTGTATTCCAGATGTGATCTGCTTAATGCAGTATAAAGTGGAACTATCACTTCTTCTGATCTCCACGCATTAAAAAGGGACACCTCTTGATTTCTTTCTTTTTAAAACACTTCCTCACAGGTCATGACGTTGCTTCCCAAGCTACCTGTGCCGGTGATAGCCAAAGTAAATGGCCTTGCCACAGCCGCCGGTTGCCAGCTGGTGGCCAGCTGTGACATTGCCGTGGCCAGCGAGAAGTCCAGGTTTGCCACCCCTGGAGTGAACGTGGGTCTCTTCTGCTCAACACCAGCAGTAGCCATTGGAAGATCCCTGCCTAAAAAGGTAGACCTTACCAAACCTTATGGTCCATGGTCCCTTGTGGCCCTTCCCTTTTGCACCCACTTTCATCGTTTTTCGTTTTGGAGTCACACGGGGGTCAAACACTTCCGCAAGGACAAAGCAAGCCCTGCTTCACAGGGGCAAAATTTGAGCTGTGGAACTTATGTCCACAAGATCATGGGTGGCCACCACAATTGACTTGAAAAGGGGGGTGAAGACATTGCACAGATAGTCCCTGACTTGACAACCACAACGGAACCCAAATTTTTTTTTGCTGAGCAAGTCAGTTTTGCTCCACGACTTTCCTTGCCCCAGTTGTTAAATGAATCACTGCAGTTGTTAAGTAAGTAACAGGGTTATTATGTGAATCTGGCTTCCCCATTGACTTTGTTTGTCAGAAGGTCGCAAAAGGGAATCGCATGAGCCCGGGACACTGCGACCGTCATAAATATGAGTCCATTGCCAAGCTTCCGAATTTTGATCACGTGACCGTGGGGATGCTGGAACAGTCATAAGTATAAAAAATGGTGATAAGTCACTTTTTTTCAGTCCCGTCATAACTTTGAACCGTCACTTAACAAATGGTTGTAAGTTGAGGGCTACCTGTATTAGCAAATAGTAGCCTTGCATTATGATTGGGAATATTTAGCACTCTCTGAAATGTTCTTCTGATTAAACATACATTAAAGAATCGAATAAATTTACAGTGTTTCTCAACCTTGACAATTCTAAGGCATGTGGACTTCAACTCCCAGAATTCCACAGCCAGCATTGCTGGCTGTGGAATTCTGGGAGTTGAAGTCCACATGCCTTAAAATTGTCAAGGTTGAGAAACACTGGAATAGAACAAGAGAACGAAAGAGTAACAAAAGGAGAGATCAGGTGCAACAGAAATCTTGAAATCTGCATTTTCACCTAAATGTTAGTAAAGTAAGAAAGGGAATTTTAAAATCTGGGGGCCAACCTGGAAGAGTTGTACAGGTAGTCCTCAACTTAACAACCATTCATTTAGTGACCGTTCAAAGTTACAACGGTAACTGAAAAAAGTGACTTATGACCATTTTTCATACTGTTGCAGGATCTCCCCCCCCTGGTCATGTGATCAAAATTCAGACACTGGGCAACTGGCTCCTGTTTATGACGGTTGCAGTGTCCTGGGGTCATGTGCTCCCCTTTTTGCGACACAAGCAAAATCAGAGGGAGAGGCTAGATTCACTCAATAATCGTATTACTAGCTTAACATGGTTTTCCCAGTTGCAATGTATGGCTGTGAAAGTTGGACCATAAGAAAGGCTGAGCGCCAAAGGATGGAGGCTTTTGAACTATGATGCTGGAGAAGACTCCTGCGAGTCCCTTGGACTGCAAGGCGTTCAAACCGGTCAATCCTAGAGGAGATCAACCCCGACTGCTCTTTAGAAGGCCAGATCCTGAAGTTGAAACTCAAATACTTTGGCCACCTAATGAGAAGGAAGGACTCACTGGAGAAGAGCCTAATGCTGGGAAAGATGGAGGGCAAGAGAAGAAGGGGACGACAGAGAATGAGGTGGCTGGATGGAGTCACTGAAGCAGTAGGCGTGAGCTTAAATGGACTCCAGAAGATGGTAGAGGACAGGAAGGCCTGGAGGAACATTGTCCATGGGGTCGTGATGGGTCGGACAAGACTTTGCGACTAACAACAACAACAAGCTTAACAACTGCAGTGATTCACAACTTTGGCATGAAAAGTCATTAACTGGTGCAAAACTCACTTAACTTTCTTGCCTAGCAACAAAAAATTGGGGTTCAATTTTGTTCGTAAGTTGAGGACTACCTGTATAGTCAACTATGCTGGGAGGTAGAATCTTCTTTGAGACTCCAGATTAATTCATGGAGATAACTGTGATTTAAATCTGTCTATGGAGATTCTCAGTCGTCCAATTCATAGTTATCCCAAAAATGCTTTTTCACGAGGCTACAGGACTTCTTTATTCTTTCTTTGAAGACGTTTCGCTTCTCATCTAAGAAGCTTCTTCAGCTCTGATTGAGCATATAGCTACACACAACCCAACACAACATACAGCCACACTTCAAACCCAAGAATACATTAAGGCAGAAGCTTGTCCACCTGAAGAATAAAACACCCAGACACAAAACTGAGCAATGTGGTATATGCAGTACAATGCAATGAGCCTTGTGCAGACCTGTACATTGGAGAAACAAAACAACAACTTCATAAACACATGACACAACATAGGAAAAGAAACCCATCAGGACAAGATTCAGCAATCCTTCTGCATTTAAAAAACAAAGGCTACTTTTTCGAAGACAGCAAAGTCCACATTTTGGACAGAGAGGACCGCTGGTTTGGAAGAGGGGTCAAAGAGGCCATCTATGTCAAAATTGAACATCCCTCTCTCAACAGAGGGGGAGGGATACGACACCATCTATCTCCAGTCTACAACAATTCCACAAAGGCTCCACATACTTTTGCACTACTCAGGTGACCCTGAAGACACAGACAAACCTCCAAGTGGCCTCAACGACTCTCTAAAAGAATGCAGATGATCGGCTATCTGCAAGGAGTATAAATCTTTCCATCCCCACCCCCATCCAGTCAGAGTTGAAGAAGCTTCTTGGATGAGAAACAAAACGTCTTCAAAGAAAAAACAAGAAAGTCCAGTTGCCTTGTGTAAAAACATCTTTGGGATATGAATTAAACCCTGGCTAGGATAAACAAAGGGTTGCTAGGATGTTTTTCAACCTCCCACTTGGGCCTCCAGTGATTCTAATCAGATCTGATTACAAATTATCCAAGATCAGACACCTAATTCCAAAATCAAAAGAAAAGGGCCTATCAATTCAGGCCAGCTCGCTTCTTCTGAAAACAGAGATATCTGGAGAAGAGGTTCCCACTATTGCAAGTTTAATGCATGCCCAAATTCAAGCAGAATGTTTTGTCTGCTGGTGTTTCCTGGCGTGAACCTTCCTGTGATGACCCAGGGCACAGCACAGAGGCAATGTAGTCAGCTGGCAATTCAAACAGTTCTTTTATTGCTCCAAATTTTCCCCAAAGGCTCCCACGTTTGCTAGCAAGCTTCTAACATAAGAACACACGCACCCCTTCAGCCTACTCTGGCTGAAAGTAGCTTCAAATACAGTCTGATTAGCATAAGAAAGTACTCAAGGCCATAGAGATAACAAGGAAGAAAACAAACTGAACCCTAGCTTGCCTGAGCAGTTTTCAAAAGAGAGAATCCGAAATACAGTCCGAGGTCTTTAAACATTCAAGTAACGTGGTCAGTCAGTCCAATAGTTCCGAGTTTCCAGGTTTCCAAGCAGAAGTCACAGAATAAGAGATCAGCAACAACACACACAAAACTCCAAGGAATCAGCATTTGCTCCTGACAAATGCCCCTCCCCACAGTGTCTCCTTAAATCTCAGTCTCCAGGTGTGCCTTGTGGAGAGGGGTGGGACGCTCTCCTCCCAAGTAGTTGAGCCTGTCTGCGTTGTTCCCTCCTTCTCTCCACTCTCCGTGTTCTAGGATCAGTTGGGGTGGCCCTTGCTCATCGCCTGAACTCTGTCTCTCCCGTTCTTCCTGTCCCACTCCTGAAGGGCCCTGGCCTGCCTCGTCCAGCTCTTCCCCTACATTCCTCTGAAGCCACAGACCCCTCTCCCTCAGCCTCCATATGGTCCCGTTCAAGTTCATTTTCCTCAGCAGATTTCAGCTCAGGCATGACACTGCCCATCAGATGGGCATCAGAATCTTGAAACGAGAGTCAGATGATGACCATCAAAGTCTCCAGCTCAGATCTTTTCTTCCAGGTGGCACTAGAGATCCTCTTCACCGGAGAGCCCATGTCAGCTCAGGATGCCCTTCGCCATGGACTCATCAGCCGAGTGGTCCCTGAGGACCAGCTGGAAAGCGAGACCTTGAGAGTTGCCCAAAAGATCTGCCAGAGCAGCCGAGCCGTGTTAGCCCTGGGCAAGGCCACTTTTTACAAACAGATGGAACATGATATTGGCACAGCCTACCAGATAGCTTCACAGGTCATGGTGGAGAACCTGGCTCTGAAGGATGGACAGGAAGGAATTGAGGCCTTCATTTCTAAACGCAAGCCCAACTGGTTCCATTCTTGAAATAACTTATTGTCAAGGCACATCTCGAGGACAATTGTTTCTCCATCTTGACAACTTGAGGATGTGTGGACTTCAACTCCCAGAATTCTGGCTGGCTGGCAGGGGAATTCTGGGAGTCGAAGTCCACACATCCTCAAGTTGTCAAGGTTGAGAAGCACTGGTTTAAGATCTTTGAAAGCCTTTTATTTGGTCAGTAAAACCAGTTTGAGGTTTCCCAAACCTGCTTTGAAAGTCCTGGGAGTTGCACTTGTTTCAAGGGATCCCTTATTGGCATAGGAATATTGGCTTTAAAAGGATCTTGTGCTCTTGTCTACCCTAATTGGTTCCTTCAGGCACTCTGATTTGTGATGTAGAAACGAGCTGTATTTTCACAATACCCTTAACTGGCTGCCTTGCAGATGGTGTATTTGTACAACATGCTAAACTGAATTAGCATGATTTGGTTATTTTCTTATCGTTTGGTGGACGGCGTGAATCCAGACCATCAGGTTAATATATGATTTAAGGCAGTGTTTTTTTTTTTTCAAACTTGGCGACTTTGTGTAGACTTTCCTTTGTGTAGATTTGGCAAAATGTGTGAACTTCAGTTCTCAGAATATCGCAACCAGCACGCTAGCAGTTGAAATCCTGACATTTTAAAGTTGCCAAGTTTGAAAAACACTGCTTTAAGCTATCATGTGAATCCTGAAAATGGATTAATTCAGTAAGCCGGTACATTGTACAAATGTACACACTATATTGGACGGTGGCTAAAAAGAGCAGATATTCGTAGATGCTGAAATTACAAAGTCTACACCTACAATTACATGGCTATGAATTTAATGAGTACATATTATTTCAATTATAACAGACTGTGATTGACGGTGCTAAGCCATTGTTTGCCTAACTGCAATTTAATAAACCCCCATATCTGAATATACTAGTATATTAAACCAAAATCTGGCCAAATATATATTGGCTTAGTTGAATTCCTCCAGTAAATAGGCTTATAAGTTATTATTTCCTTGGTTTATGGCAGGGTCTTCACATTTGGCCCTTTTATGACTTGTGGACTTCAACTCCCAGAATTCCTCAGCCGGCGTGCCTGGCTGAGGAATTCTGGGAGTTGAAGTCCACAAGTCATAAAAGGGCCAAGTTTGAAGACCCCTGGTTTATGGCTTCAGATGTCAAGCACAAAAAATCAGGACTTGTGAGTTATGTCAATGGGAAATCAGGAGATTCAGGCAGTTCAAATGCGTATAAAGATTTATTGCAAGCTTAAGCTCTCTACAAGATTCTGGCCAACTAACAGTCAAGGGAAATGAGTGGGAGATAAGAAAGGCGTTCAAAGTGGGCTGGACTTAGATCCTTAGTGGGCACGCAGGGACTCGTGGCTTATGACATGTTTGACCCCTCCCTGGTCATCTACAAGTTGCAGCATAAATGATTTATTGAAGCCTATACACAAATATCTGGGTCAACTAACACGCAGCACTAAATTGGGGAAACACTACACTAGTATATCAAGCAAATTCAGCTGGAATTTACCCTCTGCAGTGATGATTCCTAAATTATGTCTCCCAAATTAGAGGCATCTGGTATGGAAAATATTTCTATATGTGTATGGAGAAATGTTGGCCCTACAGATGTTCCTGAATGACAATTCCTCTACTTCAGGGGTCTTCAAACTTGGCCCTTTTATCACTTGTGGACTTCAACCAGGCACGCTGGCTGAGGAATTCTGGGAGTTGAAGTCCACAAGTCATAAAAGGGCCAAGTTTGAAGACCCCTGCTCTACTTCTTTAGCAACCCCTCCTGCTAGATCAGGGGTGTCAAATTCAATTTCATTGAGGGCTGCATCAACATTGTGGTTGCCCTCGGAGGGGGGCGGGGGTGTGTGGCCAGGTTGGGTGAGGCCTACTGGGTGGCTGTGGAGGGAGTGGGTGTGGCCTACTGGGTGGGCGTGGCCAGCTCTATATCGTTCGCGTCAAGGGTGCCTGTGGGGGCCTGGGCAGGAGTGGGACAGATCTGAGGGTCTCTGGCAGAAGGGGGTGGGACCGGGGCAAGCGCCAAGGCATGGTCCATTCCTTTATTCCTCACAAAGGGTGACACCTCCCCAGCATGCACCCAGGGAGCGGGGCCAACGCGGCAGGGTCTGGTTCCTCGCTGTTTCCGGACGGCCTTGTGGAGCTAAGACTGAATGCGTTTCGGCATAGATGGCCACCACAAAATTGTACATTGGCTCCCGGCCAGCCTGGCCAGGGCCAAGGCAGCGGGGGCCGTTCCCTCACTGTTTCCAGGATGGCTTCGCGGGCCACATGAAACCACTTCGCGGGCCGCATCCGGCCACCAGGCCTTGTGTTTGACATGTCTGTGCTAGATAGATTTGAATGTTAAGGTGGTGTTGAGTTATTCTAAGGAGGACCACCAGGGGGGGATGTTCACATTCTAAACCCCAGCATCTCTCTCGGTTTTCTGCAGCAGGAAGAATTCAGATAATTTTTCATGACCCACGAATCAACCAGGAGCAAAAGAAGGCAAAAAAACGTTAAGGAATTCATTTTCCCTGTCTGGTTTTCAACGTCTGTAAACACAATTCATCATTTATTCACCCAAAAATGGCACTTCGCTAACCCGGAGGCTATTTCGGGAAGCTCAACATGGTCGAGATTGTCCCTGTTAAACTGAATTCAGTTATTTTCAGTGTGCTGCTCAAACTCCATAATACTAAAACTGCTACCTGGAACCCCAGGCAGTGGTGGGATTCAAATAGGTGAACAACTGGTTCTCTGTGTGGATGCTGCTTCCAGAAGTCCATTCTGGGCTTGAGCAACAAAATTAGCTACCAGTTCTGCCGAACTGGTGCGAACCAGCTGAATCTCACCACTGACCGCAGGGTTTTGTGAGAGAAATCTTCAGTCATTGAGCAAACTGGTCATTAAGAGAGATGTCACTGTTTCATCCAATGGCTGCAATCCCACCACTCCTGATTGTGATTGTTGAGTGGATGGAGTTGGTGGCAGTAGTGGGCTGGTGGACGGCAGTGGGGAGGTGTCCCTCGACAACAGACCCAGTCTCGTGACCCTTTGGGAAAATTTAATTCCCAAGCTCTACTTTAAATTAAGTTGGAATTTACTTTCTCTGTGCCAGATAAATAAAGATGGGATCTTTCCTTAGTCCTTTGTGTCTTCAACATCGAATTTAGGCTTCATTCTAAAACAGTGGTCCTCAACCTTTTTAATGCTGCGACCCCAACCGGTCGTAAGTCGAGGACTACTCAACTGGTGCAGCACCGTTTGCAGAATGGGACTTTTGGCGGGCTCAGCAGGGCAGAGACAGCCTGGACAATTCCTATTCGCTTTTGAAAGCCAATAGAATTAGACTCTATTCAAGAGAGTCTGTTTTATTGGCTTTCAAAAGCCAATAGAATAAAAGGGAGTAGCACAGCTAAGGAAAAGGGGGGGAAATGGCGGACTGCATTGTTTGGCGACCCCCGTGAAATGGTTGTTCGACCCCAAATGGGGTCCCGACCCACAGGTTGAGAACCACTGCTCTAAAAACATAAGGGGTAAAAATAAGAATATAATGGAAATACGTAATATAAAAATATAAAGGGGATTCAGGCTTCGCTATAAAAATAGAAGGGGCCTGATGGCTCAGCCGTTAAAGAGGCTGAGCTTGTCAGCTGGAAAGCTGACAGCTAGGGTTCAAGACCTGAGCGCCATGAAATGGGGTGAGCTCCTGTCCCTTGCTCCAGCTCCTGGCCATCTAGCAGTCCAAAAGCATGCAAATGCGAATAGATAAATAGGTACCACGTCGGTGGGAAGGTAACAGCATTCCATTCAGCTTTGATATATAGTCTTGTCACATGACCGTGGCAACGTCTTCGGACAATGTTGGCTCCCTTGAGTAACAAACAGAAGTAAGCACCACACCCTAGAGTCGGACACGACTGGACAGGGAGACCTTTGCCTTTATAAAAATATCATTCACAAAGCTTTTTCTTTTAACACTTAACATTTCAGAGTCTAAAAAATCAGATACCCGAAACGTCTTTTTTTTTTTTGCAAACTGTCCTTTTGTACATTTTTCGCAATTCTCCATCGATGCAAGAAAGGAGAAAGGAATGGATGAATAAGTTTCTGCTCCAGCTTGGGGCGAGGTTAAAACTTTGCTTTTTCAGTTTGCGCTTTGGTGTGTCCTACATACCCAGCTGGCTTGCGATCCTTGTGTGGCACAAATCCAGAAAACGGGTAAACCCAATTTCAGTTAGCGATTATGTGAATTGTTCACTTGCTAGTTGTTACAAATGCAGCTATTGCGGGACACCCCACAAAAAATACAAAGGATACTGATTGCCATTGTGTGAATGACAATATCTAAGGGTGATTATACTACATGGTTTTCAAAAACATGCTAATCTTTTATTCAGATGGGAGGAAAAAATATCCCGTTTGTGTGTGTGTGTGTGTTGAGTGTTTTTTTTTTTGATGCACCCTGTAGGCCCAAATATGGGAGGAATATTGCTCTTCGCTGAAGTGATTGAACTTACAAAAGGCATAATAGTTATATAATCACCCCAATCAATGTATACCACAGTTCTCAAGAACTCCAATATGTTGCTTGAAGCATCAAATCTTTAGAAAATAAAGGTGTGTCTAATCATTGTTTGTACTTAGCAAAAGTCTGGGAACTGGGGTGTTTGCCATTTTGTAAAAATGAAATAAAACGGGTCATTAGAGCAGTTTAAAAAAAGAAAAATCAAGCATTTTCTTTTAGCTGAAGCATGAACTTAACAAGGGATGCTTTTTCAATTAAAAGGGTATAAAGCAGGGGTAGTCAACCTTGGCTCTTTTATGACTCGTGGACTTCAATTCCCAGAATTCCTGAGCCAGCCAGGAATTCTGGGAGTTGAAGTCCACGAGTCATAAAAGAGCCAAGGTTGACTACCCCTGGTATAAAAGTTTTCCTGACTATTCTTGTCTGACTCTAGGGCAGTGTTTCCCAAACTTGACAATTTTAAGGCATGTGGACTTCACCTCCCAGAATTCCACAGCCAGCGTTGCTGGCTGTGGAATTCTGGGAGTTGAAGTCCTCATGCCTTAAAATTGTCAAGTTTGGGAACACTGCTCTAGGGCATGGCGCTCATCTGGCTTATTGAATATTCACCATTGCCTTGCAAGCACTGGTTTGCAAATTCCAATGGCCGGTTGCAGAATTCTGGGAGTTGAAGCCCGCACATCTTAAAATTGCTGTGGCTGAGGAACCCTGAACCACACCATTGTTTAACGTGTCCCTCAAAGGAGCTCTTTGCAAACTAGCTGGGCAATGTGTGCGAAGCTGGACTGTTCTAAGCATGGATTGTTCTCTGGCTGAAAGTAGACGCTGTTCCTTTCAGATCAAAACCCCGTTTTGGGATAACTGGGCTATACAGATCTTCCTCATTCGGCAGAAAAGATTTGATAAGGAACAAATGGTGCTTGGCGTTTCTGTCCCGACCGTTTCACACCAGCCATATCAGAAAACCCCGGATCTCTTTACTTTTCTGAATCCCTTTTGTGAGAGCCAGAATGCTGAAGACGTTGGCTTAGAATTGGGAGTCTTCTCTCTACACTTTGCTATAAAAACAGAAAATGGGAGTGCTCAAACCCTGGGGAATCCTGGGAACCTGAAGTCCACACATCATAAAGTTGCCGAGTTCAAATTTCTCTGGAGATTCTCAGTCATCCAAGTCATAGTTGTCTCAAAGGTGCCTTTTCAAAAAGCAACTGGACTTTCTTTGAGAAGGAAGGAGAAAACTGGGCATTTTTTCTTCTTCTTCCTGAAGAAAAAAACAGCCCGTTTGCCTTTTGAAAAAGCACCTTTGAGATTTCTGAGGTTGAGAAACGCTGGCGTAGTTAAGATGACCAAACACGCCGCCAAATCAGATGCCCTTCGTTTTGTCCTTCCTTCGTTTAGCCTTAAAATCAAA